GGGGGGGGGGGGATTGCATTGAAGAGTATTTCACAAAAGTTTTATCATTCCTAAATTATAACACGTGAACAGTTGTTGTTAAAAGTTTTCTCACTCATTGAAGATTTTGCACGTATTCGTCACTGAAAAACTTTATGTGTAAAAGAAATATGTCGTGCTGAAAACAACAACGACCTGTATGAGGAGATAAAAAAATATACATATATATATTTATAAATATATGAAATTGGAATCGTGTACAAAAGATTTAGCAACATCAACAACCACCTGTATACCTCTATTACCATATGTCAGAACGAATTCGCTATGGGTTATGTTTTCAATCCTTGCTGCCATTTGGGGGCATGATTTCTACAAATAGTAGACAAGATAGCTGTTACATTCGACAAACTAGGGTGGACATCATGACCATCAGCACGAGCAATTGCTCCTGAAACTAGACAACCCAGGTTATCGCCCCAACCTTCGTATGTACACATAACAGCCTCTGTATTCACCAACAGAAACCACGACTTTCCACCACAAGAAAAGTCCTTGCCCGTCTCACATGTTCTCATGAGTGACGAGACAGCTAGTTGCAATAGCTTTCCATCGGGGGACGCGGCTCCATCTACGACACGTAATGCAGGGTGCGGCTCATTGTAGTGTCTTACCAACCTTAGCAGGGCGTGACACCATCCTGCTTCACTGCTGTCCTTAGTACCCGGAATCTTGCAGAAGTCTTTATCAATGTACGCATCTTCAAGTTTATCTTCGAACATGTCACAGCTTTCTGTGTCAACTTCTGCACCAATTGCCTCCTCTACCTCGCCCTAGTGTTTGACATCACTCATGTCAAATTGTTGAAAGATGAGGACACGGTTTTCACTGTTGTCACCATTAAAAACGAAAGACCTGTCAAATTTTCGCTTCATGCCTTTGCAGGGGCTAGGATTCTCTTCATGGCCAGTGGAATGAGAAGAGTTCAGAAGCGTCCATTGCAGGATTAAATCTTCTGCTTTCACATCATGCGTTGTCACTTTCTTCGAACGTGGATCCGCTGTGAACATGGTCAGTGCAAGTTCGTTTTGCTGTTCATTATCATCACCAGTGTCTTCCTTTTTTTCTACAATGGTTTTGTTACACTCTGCCGCAACGAGATCACTACCCTCCTGTCGCTTGCGCTGCCTATCAACCTCTGTAGGAGCTGCACATATTGCCCATACTGCGATCTCGATGTTCGAATCCTGAATATAGTTTGATAATTTAGAAGAGAAAGGAGGAGCTAAGGAGTATCCCACAGTTTCCCCTCCTGCAAGCACATCTGTGATCACAGGATGAAGGATGCAGTGGATCACATTTCTATCGTTTTTGCTTTTCCTTGTTAAATCCATTAATTGATCCAGAAGGAAGTACTCGATTCCATCTGCAACAATCACAGGTAACTCTGCAAGACAAGTGGGTTGCACACAATTTTTATTGGTCATCTGCGACAAACACAACACCTCGGCCGCGCCTGGTTTCAACAGCCCTGGATTGAAGGATAGTCTCATTTGTGCATCACGTATCTTCGATTGCAGTTTTTTCCTATACGCTGGTTTCCTATACGTGTCACCCCTTTGATTTTTATTCATATCCACATCCGACTGTTCTGTGATCCAATCCAATAGTGATTTCTCCGTATACGATTGTATGTCAATCGGTCTGTTCGGATGGGAAACCGTCGTACTTTCAAGGTTCGGCGAGTGATGCAGCCTGTCTAGAAAGACGCTTGCATCGTGCATTTTGTCGATGTTGCAAACAACGGTTGCGTAGATATCGATATGCACATCAAAATAACGAGGAACCCTCTGTCTCAACTGCTGCAATTGAACATCGGAGTCATAATGCACGGAGGGCGTGGCAAATTGTATCACCGTCTGTGTTGCAATCATCTCATGTTGTGCCAACATACCTTCGCCCGCGTGTGAGATGCAGATGAATACCAAACGTAGTTATCGCCGTCCAATCTGAAGTTCAACAAACATTGAAAACAAATGAATAACAAGTTATATACTTATAAGGTAGCCTGTATTTCCGGCCGCCCGGGAGCTCGACTTATGCCCGCAATACTGTGGAAGGGTGATCAGTCAGGCGTGACCCCCGGGCAGGGTTTCGGGCAGGGCCACTGTAGATAAAAAGAAAAAAAAAAAAAAATCTCCAAAATTCATATTGTCATAAAAGTTGTGAGAAATGGATTACAAACGACTTATGACTGCGTTCACATTATAATTAAGTGCAGCATCGGAGCGAAGAAAAGAAAATGATAGATTGACACAAACGAAACCCCCCCCCCTTCACAGGCAACTCAAAAAAAATAAAAAAGAAATGAGACCATTTTTGGAAGCCTGCCCGAGGGCGGGAATGAACGTGGGACATTAGATGCTTTGCACATGTACTGCCCTTGTTCTGGACCTGCTGCCAGCGGCCGGATTGCAAAAAGTTAATACATTTCTTGTTTTCAGTCGTGTACATGAAAAAGCCCGGGCAGAAGTGCAGCCTGATCCGTCATCTACTTGAATGCTCCCCGCCTCTTGCGGGTAGCAGAAACACAAACAGGTGAGAATCTTCGAAAGGAAAAAAAAAAAAAAAAAAAAAAAGGAGAAGAGGTAC